TACTGGCGGAAACAATAAGGGTGAATGAATGAACAGCAGCATTAGGATGGTTATACATCTGATGGTTCCAGATAGAGATATTGCAAAAACTCTGTTCCACATTAAATCAAGTAATAGAATTTAAACAGAAAATAGTCTAGTCTAACACACTGCATATTATAGGCCACAGAACCACACTCGATAACTCGGGCATCATGCGCATGGATATCAGAATGAAATAAGAAAAGGATGGGTAGTCTCATCTCTTAAATTATGTCAAGATAGCAGGAAGTTTTACATTCTAGTCTTGGTCCTTCCACTGACTTGAGAAAGCAGTATAATCCGTTTGCCTGAGTGTCACTATTTAAGAAGTCAGAGTACTTACTTATCCCACAAGGATACTGTCAGGTTTAATTAATTATGTCTGCAAAATCCTTTCTAAATGAAAAGTGGCAAGTATGATTTATTAATTAAGTCTAAAACACCACTGCAGAATCAGGGACTAATCCTTGTTTTTTATCAAGAGAATAACATTTCTAATAAAATACATTCCAAATGGGAAATTATAATAACAGCCCTTTTGATGTACTTAGACTTTTTTTGTGGGAGCGAGGCAACAGACTTTTGATGAGTTCTAGGAAGAGAAGTGTAATCACGAACAAGAGATACAGGAATGCTCTTGCTCACCAACATTAACGTGGCACTAGCTAAACAACGCTGCATGAATCATGAGAACGGGGACTATATACCTACCACTGCTGTAGGACCAAGCCAAAAGAAAACTACTCCCCTCCCTATTAGATGTCACTTGCTTGTAGTTTGACTATGCGCAAGGATCTGTGCGGGTCACCTAGGTATAGCCACCCAGAACCAAGTATGGCATTAGTAGCCCAAAACTACCTGTAAGTAGGCAATGGATTTGATCTACAAGGGGCCTGATTTATGTCAGTATGACTTTACTGCTGTCAGCTCTCATGCTCGCAGGTGTATCACAGCTATAGCAGGTATCTGCAGGCAGAATCCAGGTGTCAGTCACAAATGACAGATGTCATTGATGCACACCTCCTCTCGGGGTGCAGGGGGCCCTCTTTTTTGGTCCTCTTTTCCCTACGATGGCAGCTGTGCTAGCTAAGGTAGTCCTTGCAGGGAAACTGTAATTCAGTCAGCGATCATTAGGGCAGGAGTTCATCAGCACAGATATAAGAATAGTTCAAAACACTCAGAAGAGACGTGGATCAAAGACACTGATTCAGCACATCTACTGGACAGTCCTGTGGCCCAGCTCTTTCCTGGACAACTCCACCTATTTGGCCTGTACTGGCAAGCTCCACACCCTCAGCACCAATAGCCGGAGTTTCAGAGGAGGAAATGAATCATGCCCTCAGAATGCAACTGAAATCCCACAGATCTAAGAAAATACTTACTCATCTGCATACGTACACATGCATGCGTACCTTGTATATTGCCACTTACATTTCAATTAGATACCACATATGAATAAAAATGCCCCAAATCTAGTGGAATTTAACATGAGGTGGCATTCCAAAGATATGGCACGTGACTATAAACAAAACAAGCAGTACCACGCGACTTAAAATACATCGACTGAATTTGGGCCCCATCCAGCACAAAATAACCACAGCTTTTCCAGGCTACACAGACATCAGGTTTGAATGGTCGCACTGCGGCAGCATGACACATAATTTGGAAATACCGACTTGTTATGGACAGACAGTAAAGGATTGTCCAGACTGGGTCAAAATGCTTTGCAAAAACATTTTAGCCAAAATTAATATAGCATAAGAAAAGGTGGGTGAAGTTTAATTTGTGAGTTGGCCCATGGGGAGATCCCCTTAATTAAATTATTACTAATTTGTTTACGCTTGTGGGTGAAGTCCCTGCTTCTGGGTCACGTCACTCTCTGCTTCGTTGTTTCCCAGCTTCCTCCTTTTTTTACCACATCAGCTTAAGACTGCTAGACATGAGAGCTACCTATCCACGCTCACACAGGCCTGGCCAAGCAGCACGGCTCTTCTGTAAGCAAGAAGTGTGGGACAGCCACAGGACCGAACTTGCTAGAACAGCCAAGCAGCTCAGAAACAAGGCCCATCTTTTTAAAGCAGCATCAATGCTTAGGGCCTGAATTTAGCCACAGGCTCTGACAATAGGCATCTATCTCGCTAACATGGAGTTTTCAGTGTGCCAGGTGCCCCCCTGGCAGGGAAGCCCCCCTTGGGCAGGGGCAGAACTGAAGTGGGCAAATTATGCTGTCCAGCAACAGTCCTTGCCCCCGCTGCTAAACAAAAAGGCACTGCAGGTAATGTCGTTATTTGGAAATAAGATGAGAGGTGTATTGTGCTGCAGATCTCAGGGCAGCCCAACCACATCTTCGCTAGCGTTTGCAACAGTTCCCACCTGAGACAGCCAGTAGTGACCTACCCTTCAAACATCCTCTAGCTGGATGGTTATGTTGAAGACATGGAAGAGATTTGAATCTACTTAAGAATGCACTGTTTACATCGTCTGGATCATCATCATACCTCTGTATGTGTCCTTTCCTGGAGAGGTAGAGGTGTGCATTTTCTTCTAACCACTTCTTCAGTCACCTGCTTACGGGTAGTTACCGCATGTCATGAAGAGCTGAGTGTGGCCTCCTGCTCCAGCTCAACTCTCACCCTGATTTAAAACCACTTTATGTGATGATATAACCAAATCTAGCCCAAACGTTGGACTTCGGTGTCTCTCCCCATCCATATGCCAAAATGCATGTAACCTGAACAAAGAAGCCATAAGGAGAGAGCCCATCATCCTGCAAGTCCTTACATGAAATTTGCACCATATTCGATTGGAGAATTAAGAGGTGCACATTTCCATTACATTTCTTCCACTTGTAGTGCTTCGCAATGGCAGCACTGCCCCTTCCCAGTAGCCTGAGGTGGTATGAGTATTTCCATTCTCATGCTGCTGCTGCCAGCGCTACTAAAAACAACAGAGCAGACGAGCACGTTTGGAGCCATGGTCCATTTTGCCTGCTGTTACCTCCTCACAGAGTTGACGTGGCAGACTGTAAAAAGCCTTTACAACCTGGTAGGCTGCACATAGCGGTCTGAATTAGAATGATAGGGCTGTCTCATACAGAAAAGGTAGAGCACTGAAAACTCCTTCCCAGGATGGCTTCTGGTATCACTTACACTGGGAGACGGGGCATTTCTCCGAGCAGCACGCTCCAGGCAGATGGTGCTAAGGGCTGTTTCCTAAAACAAGAAACCAGAAGACCCTGCGCAAGACCCCATACAGTACGACCAAATCTATTCCCTCCTAGGCCAGGGTGCCATGCTCCGGTGTTTTCATTCCCAAAGACCGACTGCTAACAATACCTGGATTCTCATTTAACCTTACGCGTCTAAAAATGATAAACTGGGCCCCTAAGAAGGACTGAAACGTCAGACCAACGCCGAAGTTTACAACAGAAGAAATACACGTTGCCTTATTCCCTTCAGGTGTAAAAATGGTAAATTTGGTCCTTAGAAGGCCTGAAACATCAGACCGACTCCAAAGTTTACAATAGAAGAAATACATGTTGCCTTACTCCTTTCAGGTGTAAAAATGGTAAATTTGGTCCTTAGAAGGCCTGAAACATCAGACCGACTCCAAAGTTTACAATAGAAGAAATACATGTTGCCTTACTCCTTTCAGGTGTAAAAATGGTAAATTTGGTCCTTAGAAGGCCTGAAACATCAGACCGACTCCAAAGTTTACAATAGAAGAAATACATGTTGCCTTACTCCTTTCAGGTGTAAAAATGGTAAATTTGGTCCTTAGAAGGCCTGAAACATCAGACCGACTCCAAAGTTTACAATAGAAGAAATACATGTTGCCTTACTCCTTTCAGGTGTAAAAATGGTAAATTTGGTCCTTAGAAGGCCTGAAACATCAGACCGACTCCAAAGTTTACAATAGAAGAAATACATGTTGCCTTACTCCTTTCAGGTGTAAAAATGGTAAATTTGGTCCTTAGAAGGCCTGAAACATCAGACCGACTCCAAAGTTTACAATAGAAGAAATACATGTTGCCTTACTCCTTTCAGGTGTAAAAATGGTAAATTTGGTCCTTAGAAGGCCTGAAACATCAGACCGACTCCAAAGTTTACAATAGAAGAAATACATGTTGCCTTACTCCTTTCAGGTGTAAAAATGGTAAATTTGGTCCTTAGGCCTGAAACATCAGAGCGACTCCAAAACGTTAAGAAATACACCTTGCCTTAAGTGCGGTTTGGGCCTCCTGCGCTACAAGAACCACCCCAAAAATCAAAAAATAAAAAACCAAAAAACCCCAAACAACCCAGAAACCAGGACAGAGGCAGGGGCCTCGTAGGCACCGCGAAACCTCAGGGAGACCCGGAGAAGGGGCGAGG